GGTGGGTGAACAGAGGGGCTGGAGGCCGCAGAGATCAGAGCTGAGGGAGGCCCGGGGCCCAGTGCTCTCCTTCGGTCCCTCCAGCCTTGGAAGGGTTCCGGGCTGAGGAGCTGGCCTCTTCGGGGGTCCTGGAGAAGTCCTGGCCTCTGAATTGTAGTGACACGCAGCCCCTCCCTCAGGCTGTCCTCCTTGGTTACCCTTTTGGTCTCATTCCAGCCCAAGTCCTGTGAGTGCTCACCCTGAACTGCTCAAATTGGTCCAACAGGTGCCCACGTGGCAGGTGGGCCCCAGGCGTGTCTGGACGACTCTCCGCCCGCACTCAGCTGCTCGGGTGCTTTCTGTGCCGGCGCTGGGCCTGCTTTGCTCGCCGCGCTGCCGGCCTGCAGACAGGATCACTGTGCCTGCAAGAGACGCGACAAAGCTCGACATCAGCAGAGAGCACCTCCCTGCCGGCCGTGGTCTGGGGCCCGGCCACCCTCACAGCAAAGGGTGCGGGAGGGAGTCCGGAGGCCTGTTGGCCTTGGCTGGAGTCCCGGAGGCTGTGGATGGGGGTGTCCTGTCCACCTTCTCCAGCCTGTGGGCACCGGCAGAGAGCAAGGCACTGGGGTGGGGACAGGCTATGTTTGGCTCCTGAGTTGAAGCCAAACTCAACTCAGGGCAGGGGAGTTGAAGAGTTGGCTCTTGATACCTAAAGCATCGCCTTATGTCTGTACAGCATTATGATCTCAAAGGCTCTGCGGTCACACCTGATGGGATGAAACATCCCTACGGGTAGATGTAGGATTTGTTATCCACAGGTGTTGTATCCATACTTTTCAGAAGTGTAAACAGGCTGAGAATCAAGGTCACAAAATAGTTAAGTGATGTAGATTGAATTCAAATCAAGATTGTTTGACTTCTCCAGTTCCCACTGCTCACATGGAAAAATAGTGTGATGTCATGGAAACAGCAAGAGTTTGGAAATCAGACAGGCAAGTCTGAATACTGGCTCTACAGCTTTTTAGCTGAGTGACCTTGGGCATGCTGACTGCGTGAGCCCCTGTTACATTACGTTGGGAGTGTAGCCTCATAACCTGGACACAGAAAGAGCATCATGTGGTTAACTCAACAATTACCAACTACCTGCTATGTGGCAGGCACTGCACCTGAGAGAAGGGAAAGCCAGCCAAGGCACCATGAGCTTCTGGGAGAGGGACGGCCAGGCACGCGCAGAGGTCCGAGGGGTGCCAGGCGTGTCTGAGGATGGCGCCACCGCCGTGTGCCTGGGATGCATTGAGCAAGGGGGACAGAGCCATGAAGATGGCCTGGGGAGCGAGGCCATGAGATCGTGGACTGGAAGGTGAGCAGAATAGTGACATCACCAACTTGTCTTAAAGAGCTTTGCCTGCTGTAGAGAATGCTCCGTGGGAACAAGGAGAAGCAGAGCGTGGTCTGTGGGTTCCTGGGATGGGAGGAGCCAGCTCACTGTCCTTCCTGCCAGCATCCAGGCACTTCCCCAACCTGCAGGCTGGGCAGTGGTGCCTCTGGGCCTGTTGACCTTACTGGTCCCAGCGAAAAGGCAGGTGAGACCAGTGCCAACTGTTCGTCTGTGAGAGACAGACGTGAGCGTTGGGGATGACAGGGAACGGGTGGTTATGTGAGGGGCCAAGATGACACTGGTTACTCTGCGCTGTGCCCACAGGTCTGAGGGTGGCTGGGCACACCTCTCGCATCCGCATGGAGGCACAGGGTCACCCCTGTGGCCTGGTGCTTTACAGGAAATGAGCACCATAAGTGCTTTTGACTGAGGGGTTGTGTCCCTTCCTCCGTGAGGATGCTGCCTGTGGTGTGGAGCTCGGTGCCATGGAGCCAGCTGGCCACGGAGCGAGAGGCTGCACAGCTCGGGCGCAGTTGGGGCTGTTTCTATTGGGAGGAGGCTCTTCCCTGAAGAAACCCTGCCAGCCTCGCCAGTCAGGGCAGGGGAGTGATAGCCGTGGCCCAGTCCCCACAGGCCACACCGTTCTGCAGCCCATCTCCCCCCTGGCCGTGGCTCCTGGTGTTGGGGTGGCTGTCACAGTCCGGGGTGGGGGGGGGGGGGGCTCTGGGCCGACCTTGGCCCTGCCCCTTCCTGCAGAGCGTTTGGACGCCTCCGGGCCCAGCCCCTGCGGTGCCTGATTGTGCTGTTTTTCGTTTCTGGCGCCAGAAGGTGGCCTGCCTGCCCCTCTCAGGCAGCTTGTCGCTTGCAGGCCACAGGATCCGGTGGGATGCATCTCCCCAAACCCCCACTTCTTTCCCCTTGATCCCCGGAGCTGTCCAGGTCAGGGGTCATGTCCTCAGGGTCTTCTGTTGTGTGTGGCTTCCAGTTCTCAGACTCTGGACCTGGGCAAAGGCCTGGGGGAGGTTTTCCCAGCATGCCTGTGGCTCTGGTTGCTGGCGCGTGGGGAGGGACCCTGGCGGGTGGGGACCTCGGGAGTCACTGGAAGCTGCTCCTAAGCAGACCGAGGAGATTTCCCCGCTGCGGAGCTTCCGGCTGCCTGTCTGTGGGTCCTGGGAACAGCGCAGAGAGGGAGAGCAGGGCCAGCGTTGGGGGCCCCGGGGAAGCTCCTAGAGGCTGCGCTCTAGTTCAGAGCCCGCTCAGCTAGAGGCCCTGCTTCCTCAGCAGGGAGGCCGCTCAGACCTGGAGGTGGTGGCATTAACTCGTGGCGCTTGTGCCCCGAGCAGGCTTTGTGGGCAGTGAGCTTGCCACGCTCCTGCACCGAGAGGGCTCTTCTCGGGCTCGGTTTGGTGCTCTGATGTTGTGTCTTGAAATTCTTAGTGATTTTTTTAAGAAGGAGCTCTGCATTTTCGTTTTAATGGGGCCCCGCAAAATACCTGGTCCTGCCCAATTAATAAGCTTAAGACTCAGAAGTAGGAGTCATCACCGGGGTTGTCCTGTGTTTCATTGACACTGAAGAATACTTTTGCAAGTGTAAGAAGTATCTACTCTCCCAACCTCTATGAACAAAGTAATTTATTTATATATATTGATTTTAGAAAGGGAGGACGGGAAAGAGAGAGAAACGTCGATGTGAGAGGGAAACGTTGCCTCTCATACACGCCCCAACCTGGATCAAACCCACAACCTAGATATGTGCCCTGACCAGGAATCAAACCCATAACCTTCTGGTGCACTGATTGATATTCCAACCAACCGAGCCACACCAGCCAGGGCTAGAAAAAGTAATTTCAGAAGCTGTTTGGGTGTCTGGGCATGGGCACTCTGCAGGGTATGTCTGTGTTAGGTAAGTCTGATTCCGCCCGCACTGGATAGAGTCCAAGTCTTGGTATTTGAGTGTGAAGGCCTCGGCACTGCCCCTGCCCGGCGCCAGCCGTGTCTGCACCGACAGTTCCTCCCACTAGAAACAAGCTCTGTGCCTGCTGCTCTTCAGTTAAGACTCACATTATAAGTAATGCTGCTCCGCAGGCGAGTTAAAGCCAGTGCAGGCTCGCGTCATAACACAGAGAGAGGGAGAGACTGAGGTTAAAGGGCCTTGCTGAGGTCCTGAGGATGAGTGGGTGGAACCCTTTCTCAAGCACAACATCCAATGAGCCACGCCTAACTCACTGTATTTACAATAGGCCCGCAGGCGCCCCAGATCTGGTCCTGGGAGAGGTGAGTGTATTTATGCAGATGCGTTTGTTGGTATCTTTGCTTGAGTGTGATTCTATTGGAATTCACGCTAATTCACTCAGCCAACAAATACTGGCTGAGGACCTGCTGTGTGAGACTCTCTCATCATTGATGTTTCTCTCACTTCCTCTCTGAAATCAATAAAAAATATATCTAAAAAAAATAAAGATGCAGAGGGGGCTCCTGGCCGTGTGCTTTTCCGGTGGCGGGGTGGCCGATCACCGCGTGCCGGGCACAGTGGAGCTCGCGGCCATGAGCAGACGCCCAGCCCGTGACCGGTGCTCTCGGCCGTGGGCACGCTCTTCACCTTCATGAGATTGCCTCCACTGAGTACACTCGTGACATTTACAAAAAGCTTTTTTTTTTCCATTTTTTAAACAACTTTATTGAGGTTTCGTTGATATACAGAAAACTGCATGTATTGAATGTGTACAGTGTGCACGATGGTGTGGGCAGGGCTGGGCCAGCCTCCCAAATCCTCACGTTATGCGGAGAGGAAGGCAGACATGCCAGCCCTTTGCAGAGAGGGAGTCGGGGCCAGCACATCGTGTATCACTCAGTTCCACTTCCGGCAGCGGCCTCACACTCAGAGCCTGAGGGACACATCAGAGCCGGAGGAGGCGGGGCCGTGAGGTCCTAAGGAAGCCCTAGTCCCGGGCCCCAGAGAGTTTCCAGAACTGACCACAGACCCAGGGCAGGACCAGGAAACCCATCTCAGGGCCAGGGGCTGGGCCGCCCCTCCTGCTGCAGTGGCAGGTGTATCTCTGCTCCTCTCCAGGGGCCCCCCCTCGGTCCCCCACTTCTGGAAGGTCCCCACCCCGCAGGCCTGGTCTCCGCCAGCTCCAGGTCCTGGGTCTGGTGCTCCCCATCACGCTGCCAGGCCAGGGTGATGTCCGCAGGGTAGAAGCCCAGGCCCCAGCTCCTCAGGGTGACCTCCCGGTCAGGGGGGGTCACGTGTGTCTTGGGGGGATCTGCCCGCTGCAGCGTCTCCCTCCCCTTCTCCAGGTTCCTGCGAAGCCACCGGGCACTCCCGCTCCGGGTATGCCGGGCGATCTGGGCCACCTGGTCCGTGGCGGCCCCGGGGCGCAGGCCTCATTCAGGGCGATGTAGTCGGCGCCAGTGTGGGCGAACTGCCCAGAAGCGCGGGGGAGGCGCCCCTCGGTCCAGGTCGCAGCCAGACGTCCCCTGGGAGGTGGGGTTGGACTCGCTCTGGTTGTAGCCGAGGGTGTCTGCGGGCTCCCCGGGCAGCTTCCCAAGCTGCGCCCCCTCCACCTCGGACCCGGCCACCGAGCTGTGGAGGCCTCCCCGCGGGGCGGACACACGGGGGCGGGAATATCGAAGGGAGCGTGGGCTCCCAGAGCAGCGGGAGGGGATTTGGGGCCCCAGGACCCAGATCCGGAGGGTCTGGGGTGCCGGAAGTCAGTCCATCCTTGCTGCTTGACACAGTCGCTGCAGGAAAGAAACATCTGCACAGCATATGTTTCAAGGGACCTGGCGTATATAGCATATTGTTCTGAATATGTTTGCTCCCCTTAGCGCTATGTGTTTTAACCAAGGTCACCTCTCTGAGAAAGGTTGTTTCCCCAGGTAGGAATTTTTCCCTGAAGTTAGGGAGGGAATAAAACCCCTTAACTAAGTGCCAGGCGGGTAGTTAATCACTTTAACTAAGAACAATCACGCTTAAGCTACATAATCTTTACTCCCTGGAATGGAGATAAGAAACGCCCTAAACTTTGGAATAGAAATTGACAGGATTAAAATCAACTGGTATAAATACAGATGTAACAAGAAAATATAAAGACAGAACCTGGCTGGAGATCCTGGATAGAACCAGGCAAGAGAACCCAACCATGCTGATCAACTGAACGCTGCCTCCGAGTCATTCATTCCCTCTTCGCCGACTCCATCCACAACTTTGGGAACCCCTGGACCTGCTGGGGATGGACCCCAACACTGGGGAGAATGGGTTCCACTAGCTGGTGAGCTGTGAAGAGCTCATGTCTCCTGCTGTTCTGAGTCGGCATCTGTGTATGGGCTCCCACGGGTTCCAACCAGGCGGCTGCGCGGCCCGGCGTCTGTAGGTTAATTTTTGTGCTGTTGCTGGAATGTCCCGCCTGCTGCTCACAATAAAGGCAGATGTGTGACCATCAAAAAAGAAAAAAAAAAGAAAGAAAAAGAATAAGATGCTCTGGGTCCTCAAGGAGTTTAAACATGCTGGGGCCGGGGACAGCTTCAGTAGATGTAAGGAACATAGGGTCACTGAGGCCCGCCTGGCAGGGGTGTGAGGAGGAGGCAGGCGGCCGGCCTGGAGGAGTGACGGCCAAGCTGATCTCTATAAGGAAAGGAGGAGTGGCCAGTTCAGGCAGAGGGTTCAATCTGAGAAGTTCAAGAAGCCAGACACAGAAAAGTAGACATGGTAGCACCACAGACAGGCCTCCTGCAGGAGTGTAATGTCTCCTGCAGGGAGGGCGGGAGACGTCCGGGGAGATGGGGCTGAGGTGAGATGTAGACAGGGCCTGCTTCCTCACCCCTCCACCCCCCACCCCGTCATTCCCATCTCCCAACCAGCAGGTGCCCACTGCCTCTTAGCTGAGTTCAGGCCTCACCACGCCCACTAATTTCTACAGTAGCCTATACATGTTCTCCCCACCAGCTCTCTCTCCTCCAACCCATCCATCATGCTGTCACTATTTCTAAAATGCAAATTTAATCGTGTCTCCGCTAGTTGAAATTCTTCATTTGCTTCCCATCACCTTCAGGATAAAATCCAATCGCTTTAGCACGTCACTAAGTCCTGTGTGATCTGGCCTCCTCCAGGCTAACCCCACCTCCCTGCCCTGACTTAACGCATCACACGTTGCTCTCATATGCTTAAGCCTTTACACTTCCCTGAACGCTGTGCTCACCTCCAGCACCTGCCCCTGTCACTCCATCTGCTTGGAATCACCATCGGGCCCCTCCCCTGGTCCTCCTGATCCTCTTTTTAAAAATATATATATATTGATTTCAGAGAGGAAGGGAGAAGGACAGAGATATAGAAACATCAATGATGAGAGAGAATCATTGATGGGATCGGTCCCACAACCCAGGCATGTGCCCTGACTGGGAATTAACTGTGATCTCCTGGTTCATAGGTCAACACTCAAACACGGAGCCATTCAGGCCTGAGCACAGAGCATCACCTCTGGGAGCCTGGAGGCAAAAGCCATGCCTCTGTACACACGCTGGTCCCAGTACTCACCACACTGCAGAGCAATGCCAATCAACTGTGAGTGGTAGAAGTCTTTTATTTTGGATTATAGAGTCTTGTGTACTCCTGCCACATATAACAAATGTTTATGGAATTTATGAATTAAACTAGAGGCTGGGTGCATGAAAATTCGTGTACTGGGTAGGGGGGAGGTGTTCCCTCAGGCCGGCCTGTGCCCTCTCCCAGTCCAGGACCCCTCGGGGGATGTCCGACTGTCTCAGGGAGTGGGCCTAAGCCATTAGTAGGACATTCTTAGTGCTGCCGCAGAGGCGAAAGAGGCTACTATCACCACCGCTGTGCTGGCCAGCCATGAGCCAGCTTCTGGCTGAGCAGCGCCCCCCCTGTGGAAGCACACTGACCACCAGGGGGCAGCTCCTGCATTGAGCGTCTGCCCCTGGTGTTCAGTGCGTGTCATAGCGACCGGTTGTTCCTGGTGGTTCCACATTAGGGTCAATTTGCATATTACCCTTTTATTATATAGAATTAGAGGCCCGGTGCACAAAAATCTGTGCACTCGGGGAGGGTCCCTCAGCCCGGCCTGTGCCCTCTCGCAGTCTGGGATCCCTCAGGGGATGACCACCTGCTGGTTTAGGCCCGCTCCCCAGCAGTCAGACATCCCTCTGGCAGCCCGGGAGCCCTCGGGGGATTTGCATGTTTCTCTTTTATTAGATTAGATCATGGTGTGTTTTTTCTTGCCATCATTAACCATAGTAACTGTTGCTTATGTATTAAAGTTCTATTCCTGCTAAGTCTAGAAGCAGCCTCAGAATCCTTCTCACCATTCATCTTAAGTCTGATGCTTAGTTGATCAGAATTAATACCTGAGGTGAAGCCTCTTACTGCAGATGTATCCCAGAATGTATGTCATCCTCTCTGCTTTATGATCCAGCTAATAATACATCGCCTCAATCATGTTGATTGAGGTCATTTTCCCCCTTGCAGTTTCTAATAGATTACCATCTACTGCTTAGGAAGTAAAATTTACTGTCTCCATGTAGACTGCAAAATAAGGCATTTTTCTCATCAATAAAATTTCATTCTTTCAGCATGAGTAATTCTGTCAACAACGTTTTGAGGCAGTAACAGTTTATAACAAATTGAGTGAATTATTGTTTCAGGTACTGTGCTGTGCCATACACAGATTTAATTTTATCTTTGCAACAACCCTATACAGTAGGTACTATAATTACACAGATGAGAACACTGAGGTATAGAGAGATCAGGTAACTTGACCAGTAAAACCCGAAAGTGGCTGAGTCTCATTTCAAATCCATGAGCC